TGCGGATGTCCAATCTATACCTCCTCTCCATCAGCTTGTGACCCAGTCTCTAAAAGCCCTTTGTCAATTGCAGTGCCTTTCCCAGGTGCCCTCAGTGGTCTCCTGCCCCGTCAGCCACTCCCATGCCTTGCGGCTTAAACAGCAACATAAAGCAAAACCCAATCACAATCAAGTACAGCAGGGGTGCCTTTTTCTAAGCTCTTCCAAAGGTTTCTACTTGGTTCTGCTGGCTTTTCCCAGCTTGGGCCCTCCTGGACCTACTCAGTTTCCCCAGTCTCCCATATTGCTTCTTTCTTTAGCACAGGGAGCTCCTACAATTAAACACAGCCAGGGTCAGTCTCTGGTTCCTTGCCCTACTTTTCTCTGCTTCTAACAGTGAGATCCTACTTCCAGTTCTGCCCAGGTCACGCTGTCTCTGCCTCTGATGCAGGGCTTATAGCTACCTTCTGAGGACACTTCAGCAGGCCATTACCTAAGTAGCTGCCAGCTGCTTATTATCTGGGGCACTGAAGCTTTCTAACTCTACTGCCTGGCTCTATTCTTGGTAACAGCACTTGGCCCCGTTACATATTGAAAGCTGAAGGAAATTCTAACGTTTTGTTTGTTTTCTTAAACAAGATCTTCTTTACTTGAGAGAATTATACTGAAAAAATATATTTGTGGGACGTGCAAGCAATGCAGAAATTATAGGAAGAAATAGAAGGTCAATCATAGCCAGAAATATGAATGTTTACATATTTATGGATCAGGCCTCTATATTGACAGAATAAAACATTGGAGGGGCAGGCGTGCATTTATGGAATTACTACCGATAAAATGGAATAGTACGAGTCATCAAGATGTTTTTAAAAATTGTTTTACTGTAAAATACATATTTACAGGTGAAGGCACTTCTAAACCATTAACAAATTCTAGAAATGTTAAACAGGATGTGTTAATGCCCCAAATTTTTCCAAAACAAGTTTGAGCAAGTCCAAAATTCTGTTAGCATCTATTCAGAATCAAGTTTAGTGTAGAGAATGGAATTAACATCCAGTTGTAATATTTTAATTTTTAAATAAAAAAAACTAAATTAATCATGATTAACAAGAATTTCAACACCGTTATTTTAATAGAAGATTAGAGAACAGTGAATTGGTTTAGTGGGAAAACATCTTTAGCCATAAAATAGATCTATATATAATGAAAAAGTAAAGCTATATCAATTTAATTACTACATCATGCAATACTAAGTAACCCATACTTTCCCAAGTTTTTGGAGAAATACAATCATATACTCAGAGACGTAAGCAAAATTGGCTTGGTTTGTGTGAAATCTATATCCATATTTCTTTCTAGGGCTGGACTCAGAACAGGATTGTCCTACATATAGCTGCTTTGGTCAAGATACTAACATGGTATCTTAAGAATTTCGCCTGAGAACTGCAATGTGCATCAAGACTAGCATGTACTTCATTATGCCATTTTAGCTTATTGTGGTCTTTTTACTGTCAAACATCTTTTTAGAGCAGTTAGAAGCAAAACTACCTTAAAAAGTTATTCTGTTGCTTTGGAGCTTGTGAACTTTTCTTTCAATGCTGATTATCGAAGTGTATAAGCCAAGTCTCTCTTTATAAACGGGGTGGGCAAAATGGTGGATACAGCTGGCAGCCAGACTCCATTTTTCAGCAGCCCCTGACTGTATTAACTGTGACCAGTTTCCATGGAGACCCCAGCAGCAGCAGCACCTTGACAGCATGGGGCCAGGGTTTGAATGGAGACCAGCCCCAGCAGTGCTGGCAGGGCACGCAGCTGGGCGGAGAGGTGCTCCGCAGCTGGGGCTGGGATCTTGCAGTGATGAGAGTGTGGTCTGAAATTGGGTAGGAGCTGCAATGCATTGCCTGCATGCTCCTGACCAGGGCGTCCAGGCAGAGGATCACAGATCTCCCCCACGTCTGGACTTGTGCAAAATCCCAGCCCTGGAGCAGTTCCCCACCCAGCTGTGTGCCCAGGCAGTGCTGCTGGGTCTGGTCTCCATGGAAACCCTGGCCCCACACTGCCACAGTCCCACAGTCGTCCCCCCCTCCCCCGCCCTCCACTGCTGGGGTCTCCATGGAAACTGGCTGCAGCACTGCAGGCAGGGGGCTGCTGGGAAATGGAATCTGCAGGGGGCTCAGTCCAGCCTGCAGACTAGACTTCACCCGCTCCTGCTTTATAACCACATTTCTTTCTTCACTTCCACCAGTTTCACTTTGTAAAACTGGCTTTGTAACATGTCTAACCATGGAATGATCAATAACTTAGAATTTTGTTCATTTTGTTAGCTATTAACAAGTTATACAATAAAAGGACAGGTCAAGTTTGTTACCACTATGTGCACATGCCAAGATAGAATAAAAGTGATAAATACAGTTGATGGCTTTGATATTTAAAAAAAGCCTTAAACAAAAATGGACTACTGATATACAGTAATGGATAAATAGTAACTTTTTTCCATCGATAAATCATTCTATCAAATCCAATCTTACTAACATATTAATTGTAAGAGTTAGATACTGGCATTTTACAGTCTCACTGAGACAAGGTTCCAAAAACTCCAAAAAAAATATTTATACAAATATGCCTCATCTAATTTGGCTTACATTTGGTGTAAATACTACACAGTTCATGAACAGGACAGTTTTCAAGTTTGTTAAATGAATTCTCACATTGTAACAGCTATAACTATTGGCCAAAGCTGAGAATGATTTAAACCATGACTGACGCATACTAACATTTTTCACAGTTGCAAGATACAGTATGTATAAATAGTCAGTGCTATGTGTGTCATATGCACAACCTTTGATAAATGCTGAAAGCAGACACTGAAATAATTTAAAGTTGAGTATTTGGCATGGCTTAAAGAACAAAAAGAACACTGAACAGAGTGATTTGCAGCATATCTGACAGGAAAAAACCTCAATGTGATCATTGCCTAATTTTGCAGCAATCACTCCTTACCACTTTTGTTGCATTTCTACCAATGTTAGGAGACAATAAAGACCTTGCAAGTTATTGGCACAATGCCAATTACACATTATGGCTGTGTGGAAATAAATTATATAACAGGTATGTTGAACTCTACAGATTTCAGTATTCATAGGACCATGATAGCTCTAATGATTTGCTCTTTCACTGACAACATCCTGAAGACGTTTAAGTAAAACATCATCGTTTTCTTGGCAGAGTCGTTTTGCTGGGCTTTCCGTGTCACTATCAATTGCTATTGCTCGTTTCTTATTCCTGTGTTCACCTTGTTTGATCATATTATTAATGTCCTTTAAACTCTGTAAATAAGGAGAACATTTTCATTTTTTTCAATTTATTTTTTAAATGTATGACACAAAATTTATTTTTACTTTTAATTTTCAAAGGACTGTTAATATCAGAAATACTACTTTGCACTTTATGTATTGCCTTTCATTAAAACTGCAAACCTTGTTCAAAGAATGCCTTTATAACTCTCTTATGGAAAAAAAATCTGAAACTGGTCAAATTGGGGAGCTGTTTAATCTCTGTAAACAGTATATGTCTTACCTTAGATGGGCTCCCATTAAACTTGTACAGTAGGGCAGTATGAGGTGTTAGGCAGGCACCATTCTTGTGTGGAGAAACATAAACAGAGTGTTGCTGGGATATTCGCCAAGGAGATACTGGTTGCTGTTTGATGTTGGGAAATGGGGAAAGGGGAGGTGCTTCCATCTTGGAAAAAAAAGCGCACACACAGTTTGTCTATATAGGACCTTATCTGGAAAACATTAAAACAACTAAAACTTCACAAATAAAGCAACAAAGATTTGTCTGAATGCATACTTTTGGGTCTCCTATGCCATATTAATCACTTTCTATTAGCTCAGTGGTGCCCAGCATTTCTGGACTGAGGGCCAGCAGCACATAGGACCATGCCATCTGGCTGCAGGACTCGGAAATTTGGTGGTGGTGGAATGGTGTCAACATTTATTATCACTGTTCTCCCACTGCCAAAATTTCCAGACTCATGCAGAGCTGTGATCCAGATGATGGGGCTTTGCAGGCCAGATTCGGCCAACAGGCTGAAGGTTGAATAGCACTGTACTAGCTCAATTTAGTATTCATTTTAGGAATCACAAAAGACAAACCCATTTTTCAGCTGTATGACAGACAAAATGAGAAACACTCAAAACACAGCACTCATTCCACCACTTATGGGTCAATTGCAATAGACAACCTACCCACAAGGCGTACTGCAGAAACAAATATAACTATAATTGTATTGGCTTTGCCACCATTCAGAAAGATAAATATACGATGTGGCAATCATGTTCATGTTGTATATATTAAAAATGTGCTTTGTAGATGGAAAAAACAGAGGCTTCAAGTAGGGATGCACCAATAGAGATTTTGGGGGCTGATACTGATAGTAGATATTTG